TTCATGTATTGTTGTTGTGTTTTTTAAATGGTTTATTACAGCTCGTTTCTCTCAAATGGCGTGTTATTCTTGAACCTCCATCCATGGTTCTCATTTTGTTAAGTAAAGTTTTGTGAGCCGCTCCTCGGGCCTGCGCATGGATCACGCTTCCAATTCGTTGGTCTGGGTGCAGGCACGAGGGCTCGGTTCAATATATTCCTCTACGCTACATGTAGTTTTTGCTATATATCACCCAAACGTTGAACGGTACGTATCTGATATTAGGATATATTTTATTCGTAATTAAATTTGCTACAAAATGAGATGAAAATCTCTAAAGTAACTTAAATAGTTTTGAAGATAAAAACCGTTAAAGTAATACATTTTATCAATTCCTGTATGCAATAGGTCCGTGTATCTTAAAAGTCCCCGACCTTTGTTTTTCCTGCACGTATTGCTTTAGAAGACTGCATCTCCACACATCAATACTGGACCTAAAATAGTACTTTCTAGACTAGTTCTTGACTTTTTCCTCCAAAGGGGGGTCGGCCCACAAGGAGTAAGTTGGAAATGTTAAATAAAAGCATAGGCCATGATGCATATCAAATTAAAGGGATTTACTAGTAGAACACGTTACCACAAACTGAACTTTAAAAGGATAGGTGGGTCAAAAGTTATACCATTTTATAGTTTTGCTTTTTTATTAATTAATCAACGGTCAACATCATTTCATCTCATTGCATAACATATAACAAACGGAACTTAACAACTAGGATCATACATAACCAACAATACTATTAACAAGCAAAACAATGATCAACAAGAATAAATGTATGTATAACTAACTTAACAAGAATTGAATAAAAAATAAGTAAATAAATCTGGAATTCCATAAATTGATCGGTTTAAAGTGATAATATTTATAAATTCTATCAACATGTGTAACGGGTCAAATGTGTAGGGGTTAAAATAACGGCTAAACCACGAAACTTAAACAGCTGAATGTAAGCTGTAGTAGTGTCCTAGTCGCGACGCTAAACTGACATCGTACCTAACCTCAAATTCCAAGACCGCAGACGACGTTGGTGTCAGTTTGGTTGTTTGGTTGTTCGACTGCGTCTGAGGACGGGCGACGGGAGAAAAGAAGAGCAGCGGAGCCACCTTTTGAGCGGTTCGCGGCTATAAGCATGTTGAAGCTGTCATGCGCCTGCCTTCGCCGGCACGGGACTCAGCTGACTGTTTGTGCTGACCAATCAGGGAGCGTTTTAACCTTCGTCTCGAATCTGAGACGAAGGTGGAGAGATAAGAATAAGGTTTTGTCATTCTCGTCCCGGCTGAAATTCGAAGTTAACGTTTTGGAGGTTGGTCGTCGTCGTTTGGGGAATACGTTTCGCAAGCTCTGAAAGTTTAGAAGTGGACATCTTAAGTTTCGTGGTGCATCGAGTGCGCGAAAAAATCGTTTTAGAGTATTATTACTTCGTTTGGTAAGTTGTGTAATAAACTTAAACAACTTAGGTTTTCTTTCGAATACTTCTCCGTCCATTGTGTTTCGGCAGAACTTTGTCGAAGTTCGTAGGCTAGGCCTGACTCTCCGATCTAGTCATACATTTTAACCAACTAATTTGGTAAAGTATTGCAGTTGATGAAATATATTTTCGATTAACGTTTCATAATCCGTCTTGGGACTTTCTCTTTTAATTCTTAAACCCTTTTATAGTTCCCTTAACGTCCCAAAACTTGTTCCAGCAGACAGGTTTCAGCCGGACAAGTTCTGTCGAAGTTGGTTCAAGTTGAACACGTGAGATAGTAGAAGTTTTATTTTTCGTTTTTGGCTCAAGGAGCAGTTTTATTTTTAGTTTCAGTTTTCTCGTTTGTTTCTCACTTGGACAACTTAAGCCAACTGGTTTTCGTTTAATAAATTCAGACTCTGTGGGAATTAGGCTAGGCTAGGCCTATCTTGTACTAACCTTGTTCGTTGCAGGTTGACCACTTAACTCCGTAGGTAAGTGGGGTGACTACTTAGCTTACTTGTTGACTCGTTAAGTTAGCTAGTAGATTGTCATTTATATATTTGCCCACAGAGTCAAGTTAAAATTATTAATTTCCCCACAAGCCCCAGACTAGAGTGGTGATCTCAAGCGTGGTGTTTAGTAACCCGCAACGTTCGTCTCGAGCTCTGATACCCAGGGCTATCAAATTTAGGCTATCCAAATCACTATCGAATCCTAGGAAGATCCCTGCGACCAGACTGGTGCGATTCCTGGGACCTCGTTTATCGGATCGGTGGCGTAATTTCCCAAGTGTCGCCGTTCAGGAAAATTACGTCACACATGCATCAACATTTTAATAAATATGTAAGCAAACAAGAAATGCAATAAAAAACTGGATCACAGGACAACTCTATAATACACTAAGGATTATGGAAAACAAGCAAGCAGCTCTTTCTTAAAAGTAATTAAACTTGAGGAGAAAAAGTCGAGATTTTGAAGAATACTGTTTCCCAAACGATTTAGTCTTGGTAGCTAGCTGTAGCTAGGCATATACTGTAGAATGATATTCCCTTTCAAAAAGGTCCTGGGATCAGGATGGTCTGGAGCAGCGAAAATTGATTCTGCTCAGCAGCTCAGGAGAGTCAAGTTCTGCAATGAGAATCTTCCTCAGGAAAACCAGGTCAGCAATACGCCTTCGAGAACTCAAGTGGTTTAGCCGAAGATGCTGTCGAAGATCCTCAATGGGTACATCCCTGAATGGGTATCCCAGACGAAGTCCTACGATTAAAAAAAAAAGAGCTGCACTCTTTCGATGTCCTGTGAATGATCAACTGTATAAATGGGGACCATACAGGAGAACAGTTTTCCAACAAGGGTCGCACTGGCTGAACGAATAACGTCCTTAATGCACACAGAGAAGCCGTTTCTGGATACTCTCAGAATGAAACCAAGGGCTGAGTTCGCTTTCCTTGTTGACCTGTTAACTTGATCATCAGGGTTGAGAGATGATGTGAATGATACTCCAAGGTCGTTGACAGAGGTGGATCTAACAAGTGCATTCCCATTTATTGAATAGTTAAAAAGAGAGGTTGTTGACTTGTTGAGGTCCTGTTGAATGAAACTACCATGCACTTGGATTCATTCAAAAGCATTCCATTTTGCATAAACCACATTGAAATTTCATTGATGTCCTGCTGGAGGCACTGAAAATCTTGCAATTACTTCACCTCTCTGTATACTTTGGTATCGTCAGCAAACAACAATAGTCTAGAATCTTTGACAACGTCAGCCATATCATTAATCAATATTGAAAATAAAATTGGTCCCAGTAGCGATCCTTGAGGTACACCAGTAGAAGCTTCAAACTCATAAGACTTCACTCAAGAAAATTTCACGGTTAAAAAGCGATTACACAAATAGTCCTCAAATCATACGAGTATGATTCAGTGATCCCCAATCCACCAAACTTTGCCACAAGATAAGTATGACTTACACGGTCGAAAGCCTTGGATAGGTCCAAATAGACAGACTCGTCTTAATGGTTACGAGAAAAGGCTTGCATAATGTCATCCTGGTACAGAACCAAATTGGTCGAGGCAGATCGCCCTTTCTTGAAGCCATGCTGACAGGGCACGATGACATTGTCCAAAGAGAAAGAGAGTCTATGACGTAGATTTGCTTGAAATACCTTAGCCAATGCAGGTTGTATCACCACTGGACGATAATTCTTGGCATCAGATGGGTCACCTTTCTTGAAAATTGGTAGCACATATCCATTTTTAAGAACCCAAGGGAATTTTCAAGCTTCATCAAGGGGTTGAAATACACCGTAATATGTGGAGCAATCACACTGCAACCATCACTTTACAGCCACCATCACTCCACCACCACTCTTTTTGAAACTGGATATCAGAGAGCGGTCAAACCTATATATCTTGTATCCACCAAAGCTTATGGAGTTTTCATCCAAACTTTGACTGGCAGCCATTTATGACTGAGTCGTTCTTTTAAACTCCAGATTGCGGCAACGTGTTTTACTGATACCTTTAATTTTATATGTATACATACATTTATTCTTGTTGATCATTGTTTTGCTTGTTAATATTATTGTTGGTTATGTATGATCCTAGTTGTTAAGTTCCGTTTGTTATATGTTATGCAATGAGATGAAATGGTGTTGACCGTTGATTAATAAATAAAAAAGCAAAACTATAAAATTGTATAACTTTTGACCCACCTGTCCTTTTAAAGTTCAGTTTGTGGTAACGCGTTCTACTAGTAAATCCCATTAATTTGATATGCATCATGCCCTATGCTTTATTTAACATTTCCAACTTACTCCTTGTGGGCCGACCCCCCTTGGGAGGAAAAAGTCAAGAAGTACTTTAGAAAGTACTATTTTAGGTCCAGTATTGATGTGTGAAGTTGCAGTCTTCTAACGCAATACGTGCAGGAAAAACAAAGGTCGGGGACTTTTAAGATACACGCACCTATTGCATACGGGAATTAATAAAATGTATAACTTTAACGGTTTCTATCTACAAAACTATTTAAGTTACTTTAGAGATTTTCATCTCATTTTGTAGCAAATTTAATTACGAATAGAATATATCATAATAACAGATACGTACCGTTCACCGTTTGGGTGATATATAGCAAAAACTACATGTAGCGTAGAGGAATATATCAAATTTTCAACTTTAACCATTTAAGTTATCGAAGTGGTTTTTATCTCATTTTATAGCAAATTTAATTGTGAACAAAACATGTTAGGCCTACATACAAAATGGCGTAAATGTGTCCTTTTGGGTGATATTAAGCCATTTTCAATGAATAGTTCAATTCCTCTAAATAAAACAAAGATGGCTTCGTATTTCAAGATGGCGGACCTAACAATCGGGCACCCCCCCATAAATTGTTTGTATTTAGGGTACGGAAGAAATGTGCAAAAGCTGCAGCTTTAATTTATCAGGTCACGACCATTTCGCTAAGCCACCACACTATATTCAAAAGTTATACTTGTATCATTACCTGTTAACACAAACTGGTCGTTTATCAAACTACCACCACATATTTGGTCCCATGTCTCTCTCCCTTCCACTACATTACGAGAATAGAGACCTGCATGCCAAGGGAAGGCACCAACATTGGCCTGTACTCCATCCACGATCAGCGGAGTCAGTTGGCCGACCTCGTTCGACGCACCACACACTGAAATAAAAAGTAGACACGATAGTTCCAGTATGGATAAAATTGAAACAAGAAATATAAATCAAACCTAAATAACAATAATAAAAGAATAAATTATTGCAACAGTTACTGAACAGAAATTAAAACTACACATTAGTACAATAATTGACATTAACATGGGCTAAATGGTTTTTGCTTAAAAAAATAGCCTTCATAATATGCTGTGTCATATTTCAAAGCTGGTCATTTTTCAATCCCGACTAACCTTAATATTGTTATTGGGCAGTTAGTCAAAGAATTTGTTTTAGTTTTGCACGACTGGACGGGGAATGTGGTACGGAATTAGGAGGTACTTTGAAGTCAATGTAAATGGCAGTTGATGACTTAAAAAAAATTAATACGTCAGCCACAGTTCTTCAAAGAGCATAATCTGTTTTAAAATACCTCTTAAAGCAAGGAGTTTACTTTTAGACAATTATGAGTGGTGATCATCATGAATTAATTTTTATAGATTCAAATCATAAACTGCAAGAAAATTGGGAGATGTTATATAGAAGTAGGATTTTTCACCGATTCCATGGACGAAAATGCACAGCTACTTTGGCTAGCAACCTTGCTTCAGTCCCATCATACCACCGAGTATGTTACTTTATGTAATCTGTCAGATTTTACAACATAACAACGAAATCAACTTGACAAAATTTACGAAAGAGTTTGAAATATCTGTGATAGTATGGCAGTAAATAACTAACTATCTTGAACCAATTGAACTTTGTGTTTGAAAGTTTACAAGTTTTGTTGTCAACGTCTTTCAATGAGTAAACATAGCGTAGTTACCTGCAGTGCAATAGAACAGCTGTTGGTCCCATGAGCCACTGTTAAGACAAGTCAAGTTGGTGTACCCCGGGTCGTAAGCAGGTCTGTAGTTGTGTTTGCATCTGGGGATTGCGATGGTACCGGGCTTCAACGGATCGTCTCTAACGACTTTGTCTTGGTAGATGTACTGAACCTTAATATTGTTCGGCGCCTTCAGTGGGGGGCACAGCTTTTCTGAAATAAATATCCAGTTTGATTGATATCAGAACACCTTGGTTATTAATTGCTTGCCGCATTTGCAACAATATTTGTTTTACCACTTGTTTTACCACGCTCTGCTAAGTCTTTTGCTAGCCTCGACTACTTGTAGAACATTTTTCATTGTATAACCATACTCGGTGTATCCTTATGTTTTGCGTAAGAGATTGCAGACAAATATATGTGTACTAAGCTAATTTTTTATTTGTACATTAAATGTTTGGGGATATAATGATGGGGTTCTGATTTGTCTATACCTGGAGTGCAGTAGAACAACGGGTAGTCCCAATACCCATCGTTGAGGCAGGTAATGTAAGAGTATGGTATTTGGTAGGCAGGCTTGTAGTTGCTCTTACACTTCGGCGATGCTATCGTTCCTGGCTTCATGAACTGGTCACAAGACACTACCTTGCCTTGGAACGAACACTGGATGTTGAGGTACTGAGACTTCAATGGAAAACAAGGCAATCCAGCTGAAAAAATATAAACGATTATCAGAAAAGGTTTTCATAAGTAAAATAACTTACCATCAGCAATTATTGGATAAAGTATCTACATGAATGCACCACCGCAGCTAACCTGCAGACTAAACGAATTTCCATTTACCTGGCTGTATTTCTACTAAAATATTCCATTGAAATTTATTTCTTATTTAAATAACATTAATTTTAGCGAGTACTTAAGTTTGCTACTTCAGGGAAGGTATTGAGGCGTGTTTTTTATTGCAATGTAGTAGAGGATACGGTCACTCCTATGCCATCAGCTGTCAGGGCAGATGGGGTGATTTAATTGAGTTTAAAGCCCATCAGCCGGAAACGGTGGTTTCCGGTGCAACGTCACATAGTGACGTCATAGGTGATGTGTAATTTGGGTGTATGAGGGTGATCATATGGTTTTCAAGGTCATAGGTTTGTGTAGGATAGCTTCCTTGTTTTGTGTTATTGTTTATTTGTATAAATAATTGATAGGTTATAATAAGTCAAAACTGCAGACTTTGAATGTACCGGTATGTTTACTCCAGTACAGTCTATAATAGTCTATGCAGTGAATAGGATCAAGTTAAGAAATTATACAGGAAAATGCGATTACTATTAGTTTCTCGTATTACGTAGTACAAGTAGAAAACGATTATGAAAGACTTGTAACATTGGGTCCCACTTGTGGATTTCGATTAGTTTCTCGTATTACATTGTACAAGTAGATAACGAATATGCAAGACCTGTAACATTGGGTTTCCCTGTTAGCCAGCTGTGAAGCTGAACAACGTAAGTGGGGTAGAATTTACATCTAATGTGATGTATGGAAAGACAATGGATCAAGTCAGAAAGAGACTCGATATAAAACTAGTGTAACATCGGAAAAAAACTGAAAAATTGATTGTCAAACGAAACTTTATAGATCGAACAGTGTACAATGATAACTTGGGAAGGATCAAGGTAAAATCGTTGTTTTAGAGAATGTCGGAAAAAAGCTGAGAAATGATTCGCCCACCGTTGGTGTTTTTTATCGTTTTATATCTAAAATTTGGTACACGTGATACAATTTAAAAGTGTAAAACTTGTAGTGTCCGTTTTTACGTACCATACAGTAAATAATTAATTAGCATAATCCATCTGCTTGTACAGCTGCGTGTTTAAATCATTTCCGATTCTACGTTATAAAGTGATGTGCTAATTGATTATTCAATTGACTCTGTAGTACAGTACTCGGTTTCTTATAATGCGCTTCTATTGACCTTAAAAATACTGAGTTTTTGTCTCTGTTTTGTTTAAAATAATAATAGGAATCTAGTTTACGGTGATCGTGTTCCTTCTTTTGTTTATTCAGTTTAAAGGGTCATTTGGAAATGACGTAGATAATTATGAGGGATGGCGGATATGAGCTGATAAGCTGTTTTCAATGTTTAACGAGCAAAACACAGTTTATACAATTAATGATAGATGTAGTAGTTAAATTCATACTCAATAATATTATGTAGACTCCTAATAGTGCCTGGCCCCGATGGGAGAGGCTAGCGAGCGCAGGTGCGACCGTGGCCTAGTTGGAATGGAGAGAGAAAGTTGTTTTGGCGGTCAACGGTAACAGCTGACCAAACCACAGCAATCGCTTAGTCTCTCAGTTGTGTTGTACGGTTCGGCTTTATCGCGTATGTAACCTGTTCGGTCTCGGTCCCGCGTTGTTGTGTCTTTTGCCGTGATACGATGTACCGTCTATAGATACTAAGAAGTGAAATGTGTTCAGCTTTGCAAGCCTAAAACCAAAATTGTTCGCAGCGCGGCGTGCGTGCTTTTGGCTATGAGATGTATCAGCTATATCTCGTAACTCTTGGGATGAGGGGTAATCTAAATAATGTTTGTTTCTAGCGGTTGGTAGTTTATGAAGCTATGTATGAGCTAGAGGTTCACGGGTTCGATCCTTACCAATCACCAAACGCTTAATTAACAGTTGGAGTAATATGTTGATTTTTTGGTATGGTCCAAGTCCAAGTCGTATCGTAGTAAGAGTAGTGTGAGTCCTTGATCTAAGAGGTTTGTGGGTTCGATCCCTACCAATCACATAAAAAAAACATTATATTTTTATTTTATTTTATACATATCTACTTGCTGTAGTTCATTACAAATGCAAAACAAATGATAATTCATGTATCGAATGTTAAAACAGTTGAAAGAAGTTTTAATTGGAACTTTACAGTTGAGTATAAAAAATGGCCTTTGTAAAGGCCACCAATGTTGGATGTTGAATTTACATTTCGTAGGTGTTATGTACTCTTGGGATGAGGGGTAATCTAAATAATGTTTGTTTCTAGCGGTTTTTTTATGAAGCTATGTATGAGCTAGAGGTTCACGGGTTCGATCCTTACCAATCACAAAACGCCTAATTAACAGTTGGAGTAATATGTTGATTTTTGGTATGGTATCGTATCGTAGTGGGAGTAGTGTGAGTCCTTGATCTAAGAGGTTTGTGGGTTCAATCCCTACCAATCACAAAAAAAAACATTATATTTTTATTTTATACATATCTACTTGCTGTAGTTCATTACAAATGCAAAACAAATGATAATTCATGTATCAAATGTTAAAAACAGTTGAAAGAAGGCTTAATTGGAACTTTACCGTTGAGTATAAAAAATGGCCTTTGTAAAGGCCATTAAATGTTGAATGTTAAATTTACATTTCATAGGTGTTATGTACTCTTGGGATGAGGGGTAATCTAAATAATGTTTATTTCTAGTGGTTAGTAGTTTATGAAGCTATGTATGAGCTAGAGGTTCACGGGTTCGATCCTTACCAAACACCAAAACACTTAATTTACAGTTGGAGTAATATGTTGATTTTTGGTATGGTATCGTATCGTAGTGGGAGTAGTGTGAGTCCTTGATCTAAGATGTTTGCGGGTTCTATCCCTACCAATCACAAAACAATCATTATATTTTTATTTTATTTTATACATATCTACTTGCTGAAGTTCATAACAAATGCAAAACAAGCAGTAGGGGCGGGGTAAAGTAGTAGAGGTGGGGGAGAGCATTATGCGGGTATCATTCCATAAAGATGAATTGGATTTACACTGTGACATGTTGCTCGACTGAATTTTAAAACAAGAATGAGAAGCAATGTGTTGTGAGTTGCTATTTATAGTGTAAAAACCTGCAGCTGTCGTGCATATGCCACATCTTAGTCCACATTTTTCCAGAGTAGTTTAACCATTTGTGTTAGATCGTGTATGTAATTCTGATGCTTGTCTTAATATGTTTTACACCTACATATGCAATAGCCAACAGACTCACATTTTTTACAAGCTTTTCCATCAACTTTACTTTCAGGCTTTCTAAAACATTTTAAATTACATCAATAGTTATCCAAATCGTATTTGGATTTGTAAACAAAAGGTAAATTGTATTTACGCTGTGACATGATGCTCGATGAATTGTTGAAACAAGACTGAGAGCAACTGCGTGTAAGACCTGTTATTTATAGTAAAAATTACAAGGTGATTTGTTTGAATTAAAAAAAGAAACAACATATCAGCATATAGAATTAATTATATGCTGATATGTTGTTTCATCTTGTTGTGTAAATAATAATAAATAAAAAGAACAAAATCAAGTTTAATTAAAGTTCAGCCCATTTTGGCATACATACATAAACACAGACTCATTGCTAGTTATTCCTCTTTTCCTAGTTGGCAATCCTGCCAGTGAGGTAGCATTACCAACTCCTTTTTCCTCTTATCTCTTCTTCTCGTCAATGTCAACTTACATTCCCGCCCGCTACCGCTTATCACGCACCAGTTTGTGCCTTGAACTATCTTTATACCGTGATCGGTTTTAAATTCAATAATTATCGTGTCTCGCCTCCGGGATTATCTTTGTGTCCGTGAACGACGTTATCCACTACGGCAGGATGATCTTCGCTGGACAATTAGATTTAAATGTTTTAGAAAAGATTCCCATGCCGTTTCAGAAAATAAAACCATTTTTGTACCATGCTGCAAGATTACTGTGGGTGTATATTCCGATGATTTCATTAGTCCAGCTGTTACACTTTTACCCAAACATAGTGAGATAGGATAGTAAATGCGTAGGAAAACTTCTTTCAAAATATTAATTGGGATTGTATCTTCATCTTTCCGCTTCCTCTTAGTGCCATTTTTTTTTAGCCTTTTCTTCTTTTTCTTCCTTGTCTTATTTGTCTTCTTGTTTTCGAAACTTTAAAAATTGTTCTATATCATTTACGATTTCTTGATGGTTTTCTTGATCCAATAATGCTGCTTCCTCTGCATGCTTTTGTACGACTGATGAAAAACTCATTTTACTTATGATGTAGTGTAGGATGTTACCCATTCAACGAACGAGCAAAGACTGATTGGTGGTGTGCGAAGCCCCTCCTTTTATAGCCGACTGGTGGTTGCGGTAAAACTCATTTACAACACTGTTTTGACTAATCCCGTCAATGGTGTGAACGTTCTCTTCAAACTCCATTTCTATTTTTATATCCACACTTGATGACTATACAGATTCGTTTTGTTTTGAACAATCTATTACAATTATTGGAGCTTTTGATTCGTACTGCTCGGGAGACAGTATCAGGGTGTTTGTTTTCCCGTAGTATGAACCTTGGAATCTAGCGTACATATCATACAAAACAGTGTACCTCTTCTTAGTGAAAGAAATATTAAAGTTGTCGTAAGGGAAAAATTGTGAATTAAAAAAAATTACAATTTGTTAGTTTGCAATGATCAAAATGACTGGCATTAGCTAGTATATTATTCCTTTTTTTGGTTTGTAGTGCAAATATTATATATATATATCTTGCTTTTTCGAAATGAGTAGATGTTTTTACAGTCCATGTGTGTCTTTGTGTTTTAGGTAAAACTGGATATTCATGAAATTCCCAACTTCTGAATGGTATTACAATATCTCTATCTGATTTCAGCTGTCTCAACAGTGTTATTCTATGTTCGTCATTTAATC